TTATATTTAATTTTATTTATTTATTCCTTTTATTATTTTTATTATTTTCTTAAAAGTTTGTTAAATTTTAGGGTAAAATCATGTATATAAATTTTAATTTAAATGTTTTTATTTTATAAATATTTTATATTTCAACAAATTTAAATTTTAAACATGCATATTATTTAAGCAATATATAAAACATAAATAAAAATAAAAGCAAAATTTAAAAATTTAAAAAAATTTAAAAAAAAACTTGAAACGGTCCAAAGCTGATTCAATCAGTCCAACAAGCGATTTTTCAACAGTTTTTTGTGATCTAAGGCGATTTTGAGGCTTTTTGGTGGTCTAGTCCGATTCAATTTCTATTCAACTAAATCGATCTAGGTCAAATGAAGGACATGGGCTATGGGTCGATAGGCATGGATTTCGGGTTGGATCCGGGTCACGTGTGGATCCTCCATGGGTTTGAAACGGCATCATTTTGATTTTTTGATTTTCTATTGTTTTTGTCTATAAAAACCTAAAAAAAAATTATTTCATTTTTTTATATTTTTCTCTCTCTAAGAGAAAGAGCTTTTCTTTCTAGAAGAAGAACACCTATCATCAACCGTCTTTTCTTTTCAAATTTGATCGGTCAATGTCATGCAAATTATCATGTTGTTGCCATCGTCAATCGACAGCGATCATCATCAGTGACTGAAAAATTCTCAGAAAATCTCAAAAAATTCTTTTAACCCTCTAAACTCAAATTTGTTCTCATTTTTTTTGTAAAAAACTACCTTAATTGGCATAGATCAAGCTTTGAAGTTTTGGCCAAAAGAGTTTTTTTTCTAGTGTTGTTGGTCCCTATTTCTAAAGGCTGTTTATTTGGGTTTGATTGTGGTATTTTGGTTTTCTAATAAGTTAGGAAAATTTGTTTTTGGGTTTCTGTCAGAGTTTTTTTTTTTTTTTGGTTTTTGGCAAAGGTTTCTTTTCTTTTTCCAGGTACTCCTTGTTCTTGTAGGGTTTTTTTTCTGTTTCTATGGGTTCTCCCTTCTCTTGTTGGATCAATGCTCTATTTATAGAGCCAAATAAGATCTAAGATATTAAAAAATCTGAGATTTTTTATTGAAAATTTGCTTAAGGTTAGGTCGGTTGTTAGGGGGGTTGCTGGCAGCTATCAGTGTGGCTAGTAATGGCTAAAATATGGGACCTTGGAGTTAGTGCATTTAATGCACTAAAACTTTTGGCAAACAGACCACAAAAGATAAGAAAGAAAAAAGAAATAATAATAATAATAATAAGCAAAATTACATTTAAGTTAAAACAAGATAAAATGAGTGTTTATAATAGTAGTAGTAGTAATAGTAATAATAATAATAATAATACACAAAAAATGAGAAATTGTACAATTGAGTTTGGATTAAATTCGGGTATAATTGATTTTGAGCCCAATTGGTTTGGGGTCAATCAAATTGGCCTAATTGACTTGGGTTCCATTGATTTGAATTCGGACAAAATAAAATGTCTATAAATGATATTGAAAAATCATTGTAAATAAAATAAGTTTTCATAACAATAATATTTTATCATTGCAGATATAATAAATATTTACTTAATAATTATTTTGTCATTGTATAAAATATTATAAAATAACTTAAGCAATGCTATTGAAAAATCGTTATAAATAAACTAAGTTTTCATAACAATTTTTTGTTATCGTTATGAATAAAAGAAGAATTTACTATGACAAAATCTATCATTATATAAAATATTAAAAAATTCAATTAAGTAACAATTATAAAAAAATCATTGTAAATATAATAATATTTTACAACAATATTTTCAATCATTGTAAAATTGGGTTGCTATATATTAATTTTTTTTTGGTGTTGTTATAACCTATAACTTTTGTTTTCCCACTTCATTGGTACGATCAAGCTGCAACTTCCTGTTAATTGCATGCCTTTCGATGTTTCAGTGCGTCTTCTTGTTTGGTTTTTTTTTTTTTTTTTTTTTTTTTATCTTCTTTATCAGAGTGTTTCGTTATGTAATTAACCATTGGTTTTGATCCCTTTTACATGAGGTTGTATTTATGTAAATAAGCAACTGCATGCTTCCACTCTTTCGTCTTGATCAGTTCAAATTTTTGTACATGATGGAATAGGGCAGCCACTTGTGTTTTTTTATATATTATATATATTATTATAGGGATATTAACCAATAAGTCCTCGAACTCTACCTTAAAATACAAATAAATTTTTAATTTTTTATTGTATGAAATTAAAGTTATGAACTTTTATTTTATTGTTATGATATAAAATATTTAATCTTTTGTTTATTTTTTTAATTGGATGATTTAATTTGCAAAAATGTTTACTTAGATTTATTTGGATAACTTAAATGACAAATATTTAAAAGAATGCTATCTTAAAAATTCTATGAATAGAATAATATTGTTCATCCAATTTTAAGATTCAATGAGTATAATTACAACAAAATAAATATTCATAATCTTAATTTCATACAATAAAAGATTGAGAACTTATTTACATTTTAAAGTAAAATTCAAGGGTTTATTTAAATACTAAACTATATTATATGTGAAATAAATTCTTTTATTAGAGGCTTAGTGGGGATGATCTTATTCATTCAATTTTAAAATTTAATGAGAATAATTACAATAGAATAAAAGTTCATAATTTTAATTTCATGTAATAAAAAATTGAGAATTTATTTATATTTTAAAATAAAATTCGAAGATTTATTTGAATAGTAAGATATATTATAAATGAAATAAATTTTTTGGGGATGAACTTTATGGATGATAAGGACTTGAGATCATTATCCGAAGTTGGGACTATATATCAAAACATTAGGTTTATTTATATATATATATGAACATCCCAGGTTTAAAGGCATTGGTTCATGACCATTAGACAAAAGCCCATGATTCTGAATATATACCTTTGAACATTGATAAGTCTACCCAACAGATGCGGTAAGAAGCACAGTGCATTAACATTTTGGAGAGGGTAATCGCACTGCTTGCATAGCCAAGCCTGAAATTGGCTACTTTTATACAGGACAACTGTCTTGCCCCTCACAACAAGTTGTTTTAGTGAGTGAACTTAACATCATACATCATAGTAGTATAATGGCTTTCCTTCATCGTCTCTATGTCCTCTTTTTATCGGAGCACAGGGGAAATTAAGCAACGAAAACCGAAACAGTAAATATCAGAAAATGGCTGGGGATCAATATGTTCCATCTGTGAATGCATTTTCATGAGCAGTCAGAGCAAAGAATCAAGAATATTCATCCACATTTTTAAAGTTGTTTGCAAATATGCACGCCGAAATTATACATGTAATGTACTTCTATATACTATTGACTTAATTAGCTGCATAAAACACTACTTTTTTTTTATTTTTTATTTTTGTACATTTATCGCATATTCTAAAAGTTTCACCACTTCATCTTTCTCTGATGGTTGTACCATGACATTTTCTTTTCATTTTTTTTTTTTATGTTGTTTCGCTGGAACTTGTTGCTAGTTACTACTATAAAAGAATATTGAAAAGAAAAAAAATTTTCTAAGCGATTAAGTTGCAAAGGGTTAGAATTTAAGTTATAAATTAAAAAACAATTTTTAGTAGTCTCAAGTCTTGAATATTGACAGCTCTGTCAAAAAAAAAAAAATGAAAATGCTAGTAATAGTATACAACACCTTTAGTAATGTACTACATAACAGGCTTTAACCGATATAAATTGGGCATTGATGGAAGATAATGCTGTTTATTAGAAATAAAAAAATAGAGCATCTTCCATATATATTAAAAAAAAAAGAAATTGGCTGTCATCTTAAGTGTGTTTTGACTCGATAAAAAGTGATAACGATTCGAATTAAATTTTATTTTATTTTTTAAATATTATATTATATTATAAATTTTAAAAATTTAATTTAAATTTAAATTTAAATCGATTTGTTATATAATTAAAATCAAATCAAATTTTATTTATTTGATTTAGTTTGATTTATTATTTTTGAAATTTAATTTTTTTTAATTTTTATATATTATTTTGATATAAAATTTTAATATATTTTAATATATTTTGATATAAAATTTTTTTTATTTTATAAAAATTTAAAAATATATCAAAATTAATATATATTTAATATCTAAATTTAATTTAAATTAAATAAAAAATTAATCCAAAATAAATTAAATATTATGATTTTAAATTAATTTTTAATTTGTTTAATTTTTTTACCCCCAATCAATATATGAGAATACCATTTTTACAATATTAAAAAAAAAAAAAAAACACACGCACACACACAAATAAAAACCCTGCAATGCGACCTTCGAAGATCCATCATCCAGGAAAAGCTCTCCTTCCAATAGGGTGAGGCAGGATAATATTCATAAAAACTACTTTTGTGGCCCAAGTAAAGCATGCACGGCTGAAAACGATTTTTACATTGCTTGATTTCTTCTTCTCAGACGTGATTGAGATAAAATGATGACAAACTACGTAAGCCTTGATTCGTTTCAAGTGAATGACGAAATCAAAATGATTAGTCAAAGTACCTGGGGCCTAAACACCTAAATGTGGCACCTAGCTGGGCTAGACTCAAAGACTCACAGTTCATCCACCCTCTAGTGGGGCTTCCCGACCCTCGCGAATGGGGCTCAACCCCAGCTGGCCACCTCCGCAAAAGCTTAAACAAACTTCAGAAAAAAAAAATTTAAGGAAAAGACAAAAGCAATAAGAGAAGGAAGAGAAACACTTACAGTGTGAGTGTCCCACTTGATGGAGTAAATCGGAAGGCTAATAGAAATTTCTCGATATAAATCTTTTCTAGTTTTATTTGAATGAGAAAAAGAGAGGAGCCTTCTTTTTTTCGAAAGGTTGATTGTCTCGAATGAGGTCCCTACTTTTGGGGTTTCTTCCCCGAACGTGAAGTAGGTGCCAAAATTGCATTTGTTGACCCACTGTAGGCTGACTCCGCTCACTATAAAATTTCTGAAGCTTCAGCTTTCTATCAAAGCCAAAGGAGTCAAGAGTTCCTTGTGCTTCTATTCCTGCTTTTTCCCTTTGTTGCTAATCACATTTTCTTCAATTTTTGTTTCTGTTCTCAAGTTTTTAACACAAGTATTCTCAAAATGAAGGTTAGGTTTCCATCTTTATTTCTCGTTCTTTTTTTTTCTTTTTTTGTGTTTCAGTGCACAAACGTACGTAGGATCAGGAAAATTGCTTGTAAATGAAATTTATTTTGTTTTTGTGCGAGGAAAAGTGAATATAATTAAGTTTTTTTTTTTCTTGTAGTGGTTTTAGCGAGACTTTATAGCCATACTTTGATCTAAATATTAATAGTAAAGTGATTTTGTTTTTGACAGATAGTTGTGTTGAAATTGGATTTGCACGATGGTAAGTGCAGACAAAAAGCCTTGAAGATAGCCTCTGGCCTTGAAGGTAATGTATTTTAGTTGTTGTTTTGACTCTGCTCAGTGGTAATGAACTTGGGAATTGAAAGACCTTTACTTCAGCCAAATTTGCTCGTCAATTAGGAGATCTTAAAGCTATCAAAAAGTAAGTCAACTGATATTTCGCTGCAGGGGTTCATTCAGTTTCCATGGACAGACCAAAAATTGACTGTGACAGGAGACGTTGATCCAGTGATGGCGGTGAAGAAACTAAAGAAGCTGTGTTGCACAGAGTTAGTTTCGGTTGGAGAGCCGCCCAAGCCCAAGCCCAAGCCAGAGCCCAAGCCAGAGCCCACGCCCAAGCCCAAGCCAGAGCCGCCCAAGCAAGAACATGTAGTGGTGTATTACCCTCCAATGCCCACATATTACTGTACTCCACTACCCGACTATTACTATCAATGTGTTTACGAGAATCCATTTAGTTGCGTTATCTGCTAATTTTTTTTTTATATATATATGAAAATAAAGCAGTACTTCTTTTTGAAGTTATATAGTAGCAGTACTTAATAAAGAAGAAGAAGAAGAAGAATAGCACCTTTGGGTTGGTGGTTCTTTTTTTTTAATTTCTTTTTGTAAATATTTTGGTTTGCGTATGTTTTTATTTGCAAGTAATAGATCCTGTAATATTAGTGGTTTTGTTGAGCTAACAGAAGCATGAATCAGATTTTTAATTGGGCTAAATATAAAAATATTCTTATATTATATACCTTTTTATCAGTATGATATTTAAAAACATAAATTTTTTTCTTTTAATATCTAAATTTTCATTTTATCGAGTATTTTGAAATTTTAAACTAATATTATTAATCAACTTATTGACGTGATATTAATATTTCATAAAATTATAACACTTGATATAAATATTTAATTATTATTATATTATATATTTTTTATGTCAATATTTAAATAAAATTTAAAAATTTTAAAAATTATTTTTTTAATTCAAAATTAAAATAAAAAGAAAGGAAAAGAATTAAGGAGAGAGAAAATTAAACTTCTTGCTGACAAAATAATAGTTAATATGAAAATGATTAAATATTTATGACACATTATATAATTTTATTAGATATTTATATTATATCAGTTATTTAATTAAAAATAACAATGTAAAGTATTAAAGCATTAGATGAAATAAAAGTTGAAATATTAAAGTGAAAAAAAAAATTTAAGTACTAAACTAACATAATATGTATAGTACATGGTGCATTTTACATATTAACCTTTTTTTTACTTTTAATGATCAAATCTTAAATTATGATAATTTCAAGTAAAAAAGTGTGTTTTGTTGAAAGAAAATTTTTAATGAAAATTTTATGACGTGATTAATTTAAAAGTTTATAAAAATAAATAATGTAAAAAAATTTAAAATTATGATATAATATAATTTATTTTTTAATTTTTTATATAACCAATCTCAAAATTATAAGATATAAATTTTAATTTATTATTGTTGGTGTATTTATCTAAGAATTTCATTTTGATAAGGAAATTTAGTTCGTCACTTTCTGCTTAGGTAACATAGAATGTAAAGGAAATTATTAATGCAATTTCCACAAAGTAAACGAGGACCTACCAATGTGAATTAATGCTGCCAACTGTCAGCGTTTTTTTTTTTTTTTTAGTGTACGTCAATCATGAGTTGATTGGTTCAGCCGTTGAAAAAGAAGTAAGCAAGCAAATCCGACACGTTTTGTGATGAAAGATTGAAAATGGAAGCACTTATCTCCAATTATTCCTGCCTGCTTGGCGCATATAGTCGCAGGCAGGTGATCAAACTCGGGAATAAGATGCTGTGAACTCCGTCAATAAACCAGTTCCACTATTGTCAATCCAAGACCGCCTTGTGGTATTAATTAATTAATTAATAGAAGGGAAATTAATAAAATATATCAAAAGGAAACCATGATCAATTTTCTTTATTCTATAACAATATTGCAGAGAATTATTCTTTTGAGTTAAAAAAATAAAATAAAAATTCAAGTTGAGACTTTGCTTGACATTATGAAGTAGTAATTAATACTCTTAGAGGTGTCAAATGAATTGAGCAGTCCTTACACTGTATGATTTGATATCACATGAGTTGAGGTTGGCACGATTTATTGTTATAATAATAAATTTTGTCAAAAATATTTTATATATTTATATTATGTTGAATTAAAATTTAAGATTCATTAAATTGATATTATATGATTTATCAAAGAATAGTGTCCGCACATGACATATAAATTAATATTGTACGACACACACGAATATTAATGTATCATATTATGCCAGTTATAAATGTTATAAATAAGTTTGATTTTTAATTTTTAGTTATATTTTATGTTACTCTTATCATACGATAAATATTTTATTATTCTTTTGATACTTTATATTAGTAGTTTATAAAATTAAATTATATCATTAAATCTACTTGTAAAATATTTAAATATTAATAGATAAAATTATAATTTTTTATTTTAATTTATCAATTTCTAAAAAAAAGTATGAAATGAAATTATATTATTTAAAGATTAATTATGAAAAAAATCAAGAATAAAACAAAACACATAATATAAATGAATCATCATATGATAAAATTGAAAAATAAAACAATAATGTGATATCTTTTTTTTTTAATTTGGAGATGTAATATTAGTATTTATTAATTTTTATAAATTCTTATGGTGGATTCTTTTAAGATTTATAGATAAATATAAATATTTTATCTAATTATATGAATTATATACTTCACGTATTAATTTTATATATTAATTTTTAAAAATAATTAAAAAAACAAAAAAATAACTTTTTAAAAATTAATAAAAATTCAAAAAACTATTAATAAGTAAACTTGATGTGATACAACATGAAGAATAATATCATGCTGGCATTGAATGACCCATAAAAATTATGAGTCATTTGTCGTACTTATTATACTTTTAATTTTTATGAATTATATCGACGTCGACGTAACACAGTTAAATAATAATACTAAATCCACACGGCCCATTAATACCTCCACTAATTTTTTAATATGCGGTACCCACTCAGCACTGCCCATTCTTACTCTTCTACTCCTACTTAAGGTAAAACGACCTGATGTTGATCCAATCGGCTGAACTCACTCACCTTTCGCCACTGCCCACCGTTTTCCTCTTTCCACATTTCAACCCAATTGCGTTGAGCTTCTTCCAATCCCAGAAAAGAGCCCTTCTTCTCTAGGTCCCAACTCGCAGACAAAGTCCCATAAGTAATCCCAATAATTGATGCGCCCAAAGTTATGAATTTAGTCAAGAATGGCGGCCATAGTGGCACTTCCACAAGTTTTGCTCTTTGGCTACACCAAAAAGGTGCAGTAGACCCGAAGCCAAAGGAACCAAAATTCTCGCCATCATCCTCTCAGACACAACCTGAGGAACTTGCTCGTCATTATTGTTATTTTTGTTGTTGGAATTTTTTGGGCAGCGATTTCTTTTTTAATAGTGTCGAGCAGATAAATCACACTTAAAATCACGATTAAAATCACGAGAATATATTAGAGAGAGAGCTTTTATATATATATATATATATATATGACATTATTTGATGACGTAAAAATTTTACTGACACGTGAATCATCCCAACAAGGAGCTGGTTGTGTGCTGGCAAATCCTTTCTGGCGTTAAGCTGCAGTTTCCATGTTGATGAGGGTCGGTTTTGGTTTTGAGTTTTGATGATTGTACGGAGGATTGTTGGTCTGGGATCCCATTAAGAAGGCTTTGGAAGGTAACATTGCGGTGAGCAGAGTCTTAATTGCATCTTTGAGGTTTTTTTTTTTTTTCAATTACGCGAAGCAATGTTTAATGTTCGATTTACCTTATCCGAAAACAATGAATGGCAGTGCTTTCTCGTATAATATGAGATATTTGGTTTTATTTATTTGAGTTTTATCTATTTGACATTGACAGTAACCCGTCGCCACTTTGTTATTGCATGGCACTTTGCCCCTCTAATACGCACTTATAAGGTATCCTCCAGGAGCATGGTCGTATCTAGCATTTGACTCAATTATTTGTATTTTTTTAAAAAAAATTAAATTTTAATTTCTCTTTCTCAAATAAAAAGAAATTTTATCCTAAGCTTTGAGGACAAGAACGGAATCGGCACTTTTAATTTGAGGACAAAGGTCCTGTATAATACATGAGAGATTGAAGATAAAAAAATATTATATATTTTTAGTTTTGAATTCGAAGAAAAATAATTATATATATTTAAATTTGAATTCAAATCTATTACACATGAATGAATCAATTGAAATATATTTTAAATTTTAAAAATTATATATGTATTTAATTCCTGAAAATATCTTCTTTTTTTTTTTTATAAAAAATAGAGAATGAGTGAAAAAAATTTTGTTTAGTTGAAAAAATAAAAACCGTTTTTTAGAAAATAAAAATAAAAAAAGACTAAATTTAGAGAATTAAAAAAAAAAACTGTTTATAGTATTTTAATGAAAACATTTGAAAGAAACGGAGACAATGAAAACATGAGAATTTAAGAATTTTTTTCAATTTTGGGACAAAAGTCCCAGTTTCGAATAAATTGATCTGCAAAAATAATAATAATAATAATTTTTCGTTGCCCTTTTATCTTTCCTTCTATTCTTTTATACCTTCTTGGTTTTCGGGCTTTTCTTCTTTAATCTCCCCTTCTTCCTTCTCCTATTTTCCCTCTTTATTTGGGTGCCCATCGAACCAGTCAACGTCATCTTTCTTTGGGCGCCCATCGAACCAGTCACCGTCATCGATGAAGCCAGTTTGTTGGCTGCAACCTATACCTTTTCCTTTCCTCCCGTCACACAACCTTTTGGCCACATTCAAATAACTTCCTTCTCACCTCTCTCTTTCAACAAGTATTTCTGACATTAACAAATCATCCGCAAAACAATGAAATAAATACACATACCAAACACATTTTCACAATTTTCATTTTTGAAAATAAATTTAATTTTCATTTTGTATACTAAACATGTTTTTTAATATTTAAAAATTAAAAATTAAAAACCTTTTTCAGAAAATAAAAATAAAAATAAAAACAAAAAATATTTTTATTAACCAATCGTATCATAAAGTTTTCTTTAAAACATAATAAACTCTGTAAGTTATTTCAAGCAGAGAAGTAAACTAATCTAACAAACAAATATTAAAAAATTTTATATAACATAAAAATTTTTGTTATCTAAATAAAGCAAGATGAATTTAAAAATGATTGAAGCCCAAAGTT